GTGTGTGTGTGTGTGTGTGTGTGTGTGTGTGTGTGTGTGTGTGTGTGTGTGTGTGTGTGCGCGCGCCTGGGCCTGGGCCTGCAGGTGTCTGTGGGTCTGTACTGGGTGGCTGTGGGTGTCTGGGGCAGTTGTTTGTGGGTGTCTGACCATGTGTGTATGAGTATGCGGGTGTTTTGTATCATAACTTCACTCAAATATACTGAAATGTATTTCATTAAGTCCTGTACAGACAGCCCATTATATTATTGTTGTTTTTTTCCAATTTAAATCAACAAATGTAATTAAACAGTTTCCTCAAAATTAACACATTTCCACTCTTGAAAAACATCATATATTACACACAGCCTAGTGTTTGCACATGGTATACTTATACATACAGACACACATTCGGCTCATGGCAATATCTATCTATCTATAGGTATAGATATAACATAGATATAGATATATAGTATATAGAGAGAAAGAAAAGAAAAGAAACTCCCTTTCAGTTTTATGCAACTGACTACTACAAGAACACAACTAACTGCAGCCACATAGTTGAATTAACACCTGTCTGACACAAAGTCAACAAAATCAAACAAGTATACAAAGGGCGCATTTATGGGACTGAACTTGTATCTGATTGTATAATTTATTAGGCGGACCTGTTCTTTCATCCTCAGCCCTCCGTATATCTAAAACGTTTTTAAACTTGAATTACATTACTTGTACTTACTTTAACATTACTATTAAAAAGTTTTAAAATTCATATTAATAATAATAACATTAAAGTGTTTCATTGTTATGAATAATACTTAAAAATAAATAAAACACTTGGTGTATTTGGTCGACTATGCGACAAAATATACTAACTTTAGCGAATTTACTGCTGCTCTAATCCCTGTATTTATTTTTTAAATAAATAATTTAAACTAAACTTCAGGACATTTACGAGTTTGTTTGGGTTTTTTTTGTTTGTTAAATTTCTGGAGAGTACAAATTTTAAATATTTTTTTTAGATATATATATAATATGTAGGCTATGTTTTGTTAAACATTTCACCTCTTTCAAGCGTTTTTAAAACACTTTTGCATTAACTCCGAGCCGCGGTTCGTGATTTAACCTTAATCTATGTTAATGATGCTCGCTATCTTGCAGAGAAGCACACACGGGTGCCCGCTTTGCCTTCAGAGCAGAGGCCAAAGGTTTCTAGCCGCGGTCTTGGTCCTTATGGAAAAATAGGTGTTAGGAAATTTGTCAGAAATGTAAAGCCGTCAAAGGTTTTCATTGGCCAGCTTTGGTTCGTTTTCTTAGCTGAAAGTCAACCTTTAGAAAAATTTAAAAAGAAAACCAAAAACGAAAAGTTCCCTGCTGCTGCAAGAAAGATCGTGCTTTGAAACTGGTGGTAAAAAGTGACTTGTAGTTTGATAGATACAAAGTTGTTTAGCCATCTTGTTTGAACACGATCCTGGCAAGACCGCGCACTTTCCCTGCGTCTCAGCCTGTCTGACAAACACAAATTTAACAAAGTCTAAAGTCACATTAGATCTTAGCAGGCTGCAGAGTCTGCATGTATAAAATCGGAGTGATGGGGCACATTTTAATCCTCAGTGTTTTGGTGGAACAGTTCTTGCTTCGCCATTCTTTGTTTTTCATGCAATAAACTGTGTAATTTATGGAGTTGTTATTTTCTGCATTTAATGGCTCACTTCTGTTTTTGTATAGCTGCTTGGCTAACCGCTCAGACAGTTAGTGTGCGTCCACTTTGAGCGCTCCTAATCTTCCAGCATCGGTTCAATCTTTTTTTCCCTTCATAATGAGAATGAAAAGTCCCCCATGATAAAGTAGCAAAATAAATGATGTGCATGGAAACGTTTTCTGTCAGTGACCAGAATCACAAGCCCTTTCAAAATAAAAGAAGAAAAGGAAAGCATGCGCGCACACAAGTGTGATTTGGGAGGGAAATGAAATGAAAGGCCTGCGATGAGTGGTGTGTAGACCTGCGTTAGTTTTAGATAGAAAAGCAGAGATAAAGCTGAATAAAAATCTATCCAATCACTTTCAGACTTGCAGCTTATTGAGTTTGGCCATATACATTTTATTAAAGCTACATAACATTAGGAAATAAAACGAAAAACATCTTAAGTTGCATGAAAGTCAGTAACGATTCGTGTATTAATTTTTGACTATTGTATGTTTGAGTCGGCGTTTTTAGCGTGGACTTAACCGCTCCAGCAAAATAACGAATGCACCGGACGCTTAGAGCTGCAGGACTGCCATTAAGGACACAACAATATCCCAAAGCCTACTTTAAAACTCACAGACAAATGACGGGATGATGGTTGTCGTTGACTACGCTACAGCATTAAAACCAGCCAATTCAAATACTGTATAATTTACCAGGAAAACGAAAACAGGCGGCAACTGGCTCTTATTCAGGGGTCCAGCCATTGTCTCGAGTGTGAAGCACGCTACACTTAATTTTCAAAATCCTAAAAGTTAATAATAACTAGGCTATTTAAACCCCCTTTGATGTGCTTATTGTTAAATAATCTGCTCTGTAATCATCCATAAAAGCACTGACCAAGCAGCAGGGCCTAAACGAAATGCCCCTTGTAAAGCCAGAATAAAAAAAAGAGAAGAGAGAGTGAAATAAAAATGCACCCCAGCCAGCAGAAGGAGCGCATTAATGCTGTGAAATGGGAAGTTTCCATGCTAACTGTTAAAATAGAAGAATACTCAAGTCTGCAAGTAGATTAATAGCCTGCACTCTTTTCGCTCTTTACTCCTGATTAAAAAACAAAAAAAAAAAAATTCAAAATTGAGATTTCCACTTTTTTACCTGTGTGTATTTTGCCTCAGGTTCTAAATGCCCCTTATCCACGCCATTGACTAGTGGAGAGCTGGCTGGTGGGAAATTAGTCCTGTTAATAGCGCTCCATTCTTCTAGTTTGGTGCTGGGAAAGGATGGACTGTCACTAACTGGGAGGGGGGCAAAAGAGAAAGAGAGAAGAGAGGGAGGTCAGGAGGAGATTTTCCTAAGGTTAGGGGGGAAAAAGACCGGCACAGGCCGCTGCTGTGATTCATGCATCCGTTAACCGCAGGTTAGCCAGGTTGCACAAGACAATAAACCCTGTGACATTCTGAACTGATTATTTGTCAATTTAGGCATGAATAGCACGTAGGTTGAAGGTCTTTCCTGTGCGTAATGCTTCTTTAAACGTTTCCTTGAGCCATTAAACAATTATCTTTGTATTATCTATTATCCGATGTACTGTATTTCAGCCGAGTTTCAAGTGTATGAAACATAGACTCTGTATTATTTTTTTCAAAAATTTTCCAGATGTCTGAAATTGAGATAATCTCTTCTGAAAATAAAAGTTTGGGAAAAGTCTTTTTTGCATGATAATTGCCTTTTGTCGTAAATTTATATTTTTCTTTAGGGTTGTGAATGAGAACCTAACACAAAGGTGAAATTATCTGTCATATTTTTAATTATGTATTTATTTATTTTATTCGCCGTAAAGAAATGTGCTCAGAATCGATGGGACTAAATGTAGTTGTTTTTTTTTTTGTTTTTTTTTAAAATCCATTTTCTTTTTTAAGTTATGGCTAAAGCGACTCCCTCTCTCTGGGTCAAGGATATTAGAGAAGAAAACGAATTGTCTCGCTGTCGGAGACAAATTGAATTGACTTTCATCGTCTCCTTCTTGTGCATGATGGGCACACTACATAGATTCCCCGTTGTTTACTGTGAGAGAAGCCATCACAACAATATCGACAAAGAGCTTTAAACAAACTGCGTGCTGCACATGTTAAGATTATAACGCTCTGCGACTTTATCAACCCTCGGGAGTTTTGAATGTGTTGTCCGTGTGCGTAAAAATAAAAACTCCCCTAGACAAAGTCTAGGATACATTTTTACATTTTTAGCCGTGCACGTGTTTTATTTTAGTTTATTTCCTATTATTTCCATTAATTCCGAACCCATTTAAAAATTATGTTGCAAATCTCTCACTTCACTAAATGTACTACAAACTTCAACTCAGCGTTCAAAAACCTGCCACAAGCATCTGCTAATAATTTAGAAATGCATAAATTGTTTATAAAGGCAGCCCCTCAAAACACTGTTCCCCCCACTCCCACCCCCCACCCCGTGAGCTTTCGTGGATATCTGCTTTACATTTATGTTATTTAGATTGCTCGAGTGAAGCTTTGCATGGCGGTGGACGTGGAAGAGGCCGGGACGTGTTTCTGCATGGCAGCCCTGAATCCTGACAGCAACAGGATTGCGGCAATGGACTGACAACACTTCCCTTCCTGCCACTGGAAAACAAGCTCTTAGAAGAAGCCCTCTCACACCACCGAGCCGACCATTAGCACTGATTTATGCTGGATCCTGTTTCACTGTTTCCAAAACAATTGCGGTTTTGTTGAGTACAAGGCAAAGTTATCTGGGCCTACCTGCATGTGGACAAAACACAACCCACGCAGCAGAAAACGCATTCTAATGCGAGATACTTATTTGAGGCCTGAATCGGGCAAACCGCTGAATGCACAGTTCTGCACAAAACGACTCGCTCCAAGTCATGGCAAACATTCAGCACACCTCATTTTGATACACTTCGTCTCACCGCCTTTCCCTCCGCTGTCCCTCTAATATTCCACATCCGCCTCTTAATTATTCTTGCAAGCTGGACCATCTGTTTCTGAACTAACCTGCCTCCCTTTAAAATCAATATCAGCAGGCAGGTCAAATGGCATTTAAGCTTTCTCTCTCCAAAAAGGCCTGTGGGTTTATAACGTTCCAATAGTTACTTTTGGAGGCCTATAAAAACAATTACACTAACTCAAAGGGAGAAAAAAAAAACACAAGTGCCGGTTTTATTCCAAATACACACACACATACACACACACATTCGCACTCTTGCGCGCAAAACCCCTTCAAAAGTTGGTTATATGTGGTGCAATAAACAAATGTAACCGCCCTCCATGCAGCCATGCTTACTTTGTTGCTCTGTAATAGACCGTATCCCCAGAATATCAGTTACAGAGTGCGAGGAAGGCCATATCCTGTGCATGGCCATGTGTCCGGGAAGGGTGGGCATGCCAGGGGGAGTGGGCACTTTGGACGTCGGGTATGAGTATAAGTGGTTGTAGGGTAACGTTGGTTGTGGCGGTGGATGAGGCGCCTGCTTGCCCGACTCATACTGGCTCTGCTGGGACAGATTCCCAATCTTGTTTCGGAGGATCCGACTGATGGAGCTGACGGAGGGCAGGTTGAACTTGTCGCAAACCCCGTCAGCGAGTAGCCTGTCCCGGATCTCCCAGGCAAAAATCCCCGGGTCTCTCTGCTTGTATGTCCGTATGTGTTTGACAACGGTGGGTGTGGTGACCCGCGGCTTGCTGCCTCCGATTGCCCCCGGGAGGATGGAGCCGGTCTCGTTGTAGCGAGCCAGGATCTTGCTGACACAGCCGTGGGACACGCGCAACTGCCTGCTGATGTCACAGGGTCGAATCCCGAGTTGGGCCAGCTCGACTATCCTGAGCCGGATGGCGTTGGGGAGCGGCCTGCCGTTTACGAAAACACCACCGAGTTGGTTCACTTCACCGAAGGCAGGCTCTGGTGTCAAAAACAAACACACAGAAGGGCACAACAGTGAGACAGCGATTAGGTAACCAACCCAAGGCCCTCCACACTGCTAACGACCCCTTATTTATAATCCCGGAATATTTAAATAATATATGCTTATATTACAGATATGAATTTCAGCAGATATGCTGATAGGTTATTTGTGTCTCAGTCAACATATTTCAAGTTTTGTTATTTATATACGACGGGGGGAAAATCCACCTTCTCACATTTGCACTTGATTTTAAACTTGAATTTTTGTTTTTTCAGCAAAGTTTTCACTCCCACTAAACAACTGAAGTTATGGATCAACTGTGTTAAGTGATCGCTGATAGCTGTCGTTCATGCAGGGTAGATTTCACACCGATGTCCGGTGGGAAGTGCCAAAATTCGTGCGTAACCTCTACATAATTACTCATCGTCCTGTTTTATATCCTCCGGATTAAAGACTAAACTAATCCGTCAAAACACCACAGACAACATCTCGCTAAATTCCCCCCACCTTGCTTTAAGAAGTTGCACCGATCGCTGCATCCCTGTCAAGAAACCAAAAAGCGATACAACACTGAACTCACCCATCGTGTTAAAGCCGCAAATGAAGAATACGGTGTCCGCTTTGTGCCTCCTGCGTGGGTCCTGCTCCGCGTCCAGCGTGTCCACTTTCTAAAATCGCGTCCAAGAAAATCTTCTTGCGCGATAAGGAACAAGAGAGACAAAATTCTCGATCTGTTTCCTGACGGCGCTGGAGACAGGCTTACATTTCAATCTGTTGAAATCAGGAGGCTGGGCTTCCGAGGGTTCTCCCCCCGCTGATTGGATCGGACCCTCCCATTTGCCTTCGAGTTTGCACAGACCTAAATTCTCATTGGCCCAGAAGTTTGTCATGACAACTTCAGAGTGTCACACACACCCACACACCCGGGTCACACTCGTCCTGCTATCCAAAAAACGGGGACATGCCACCATGAATGGCTTTGTTTTTGAGGCAGGTTGAGTGCAATCTTCACTCTTTCAACAATGATGTGAAGATACCAAAAAAGATGACAAACAGGTTCCTATTTGTGAGCATCACAAGGAAACACCAACTGAAATATTATGTGAATTTATTTATAGGGGGAAACCCCACAAATGTGTGCATTTTCGACCCCAGTAGTAACCAGTTTTATTTTATGCAGCTGTTTTTATAATAATCAGTTGCCTTTCAAAATAAAATAAAAGTTCAGCTCCAAAGACCCGACTTTGTGTGGCTTTATGCTCCGCCACACTAACTTTCATCTCAAGCTTTTAAATGGCATCATTAAGGAAATGGCAGGAAATGAATGATTGCTTTTCTGTAATGTAATTGGCTGGTTGATGTTTGTAAATTCTATTTCATTGCACTTGAAGGTTATCATAACTTTTTTTCTTATTTGTCACCCAAGTATTTCTTTTCTTCTTCTTCTTTTATTCTCTTTCAGGCGTCGAGCATAGACTGACAGCAGTCCAAACGCGCCAGCGATTTGGTGAAAATGAGGCGAATAAGTTTAATCTTTAGAAATTAATCTCTCTTGTCATGCAGTTTGAAAATACATGGCACAGTTAAAAACCATGGCCAGGTTTCAATTTTGTGCCCATTTGACATTAGGTATTATTTCGTTTTTTTAGTCGGACACGTGTCAAAAGAAAAATACAATTCAAATCATTGTTGTTTTTTTTTAAACAATTATTTATTTTCACATTTCTATTATAAGCTGCACGTCTTTTTAGGCTTAGCCTGCGCAAAGCAGGCCAATTTTTTAGCCAATTATGCCCAGCGAGCGTTAATGGAATGCAGGTTGTTAAGGTTCTTATGTGATAACATAATTACCTTTTATTTCTTAACCTTTACGCGATTGCCTTTCAAGCTCAACGTTTGCAGCTCAGTGTCTTCTAGAGGGAATATTCCTTACTTTCACATGTTCAGCAGGCAAGCACTTTCTGCACAGAAACCCCAGTTGCAAGCAATAAGAAAGATTTGTTGCTCCCCGACACGAGAAACAAACACACGCCATAATTTTGCGCCTTCGCTCACTCCCCGTTTTGACACATGCTTTGGATTTTCCGTGTCATATTTTAAGAAGGCCACGGTGCATGACTGACCTTCATCTCTGTACAATCTAAAGAGATCAGTGTGCAAGTAAACATCAAACAGCACCCCTGCGCTGCAGTGCAATTAGGAATATTGTTGAAAACCTCTGCTAACATTAAACACCGAAGCGGCTTTGAGGGGCCAGAATGTACACAAAGTCTTTCTCGGTATTTGTTTCAGCACGCACAGCTCTGCAGGCTGGATGCTGGATGCCTATATTATGATTAGCTTTCCCACCTTTGCTAGGATCGCGTCAAACTCAGAAACTGAACAAATTATAGTGCCTCAACGGCAATGCAAGTCGGTTAGACGTGTCTTTAGAAACGCGTAAATTACTTTCTTTCCCCCCACGCTGGAGTTGTGTTTGCCCTCATGAACGGTTATTTGTCATAAGAAGACCAGTTGGGATTGTCTTAATGGACTCTTTCTTCTGTTTTATTTTATTTTTTTTGTTTGTTTTTGTAAATGTATTTATCGCCGCATCACCTCTTGTGCACCCACCTGCCCACCCTCCTCCGTTCCCAGGCCGCTGATGCAACAAGGATAATGTTTACGGCGGGGAAACGTGCCCAACTTGTTTGCCTTGGGGTGCCTCTGGTAACTGAAATAACACAAGGTCAGGAGCGAGGGATCAAAGGTCTTCCCAAACTGCTTCATCTTCTGCATTTTAGGCCGGACGGGCATGCACCTTCCTCCCGTTTCTGTGACACAATACATGTCTAAGGTGAGGCTATCTGAAACTGGGTGACGTTTTAAAACAATAATAATAATAATAATGCTAGCGAAATACATGTTTTATCTGATTAATGGCACCGCAACTATTAACATTTAAACGGTAGTTGTAAAGAATAGACAGTACATTTTTACGCAGTTGTTCAAAAATCCCCATAAATTAATTAAAAATAATGTGATTATTACAGTCAGTGAAACTGTTGCAAATTATCATGACTGTTATTTTTATTATAATTATTGTAATTTGTACTTTTATTAACGGTAAAACGCAACTAGTACTAATAATAATAGTGTATTTTTAAAGAATGCTGCTAGAGTGGATTAAACACATACAAATAAATTAAAAAAATTGTGTCGTCACTATCAGACTAAATGTGTAAATAATAGCGGTTTAGCCTGTATGGAGTATGTTGGCATCAGTGAGCCTCCACGCACGATTTGCACACTCTACATGGCTGTGACACGCCTGTACTGTTCACGAGCCCAGAATGGTCCGTGTCGAATTGAATTGTTCATACCTCAAGTGAAGGCAACGCATCACTTGTCAGACAAATTGCGTAATGATGGAGTCAGAGCTTCGTCCTGTGCTCTGCAGGAGAGAGCATAACCCAAATGATTTTTCCCCCGTCTAATAAGGTTTCTGTGAAATCAGAGATGGATTGGTAACAGGCTTATCCTCTTGTCTATTCTGAAAAACAGTAGGCTTGTTGTTGGGTTTTTAAAGTTACAGTCTACACTTTTATTTTAAGACTTTTTTTTTTTTTAAAGTATGTATATAGGCTACAGTATTAATGCTTCGTTAAAAACACGAACATGCTCTATTTGAAATAGTCCAGCTCCTGCAGGATGTACTGAGTCATGTTATTTGGTGCTATATGCTGCCAAGCAGACAACTGCATACCCCAGCGTTTCATGGCCCACACAAACAGCGTGCGTCCGTTGGTGTTGCGCACGCACAATGCCTGCGCAAGTGCAGCTCTTCCATAGCACGTCAAAATCCATAATTTAATGCTTGAGGAGCATTTTCTAAATAACATCACATTGTCACATGCTTGAATTTCTAACACTTCCTCTGCTTGTTTGCACTGATGTGCCTTTGAGCCCCTTCAGGTTTTTCTTATTAAAGCAGTTTCTCTCTCTCCGTTTTTTAAACCAAGATGCTTTAATAACGTGGTCTGTTTGAGAACAAGACACTGGACCGTTTATTAATATTTTTATGAGCTCAAAAAGAAGACAATTTTAGGAATTGTAATTATTTGTTTCACTTGTTTATAGTTCCCTTCTTCTATTTGCCTTCAGTGGAATCGCAAGCTCCAACAGCTGTGTTTGGGAGCCACACATACTGCATGGTTGCATGTTTAATTCCTTATATTGCAGTTCACGTCAAAGTGCATGGCGTGGTTGTGATCGTTTTCATAAATATCGAAGCTACATATTGGCAAAAATACCTAGTTTCGATTTACTTCTGCTTTTCTTCTTTTCCAAAAAAAAAAAACCTGTCAGAAAACTGAACACTGGGATGTAATGCTGATGATAATCCATCAACACTCAGACTGGTATTTCTCTGCAGATAAACATGTTAAGCTGTGAATGCTTATCGTGTAACATACTGAGTGAAAAACGTAAGCGTTTCGTCCAATTTGCATTTCCCACAACGCGAGGATATTCTTCTTTAGAGCAAAGTTATGGAGTGTGCTTCATCCTCTTATTTGGAAAAACATATTCATAGGTTATAAACGACATCTTAAGGCCTCTATCTGGGTAGAGGGAAAAAAAATAATTAGTGATAAGAAAGGGTTCCATGATTTTGTTTACCTGTGCTACTATACTCGCAAAACAGCAAGAAATTCGGATGACACATGCACTCTTACCACAACTATCCGCTTCGTGTGTGAGCGAAGTCACTAACCCACCTCTTCTTTTTAATTTCCTCATGTTCGACAAGTAAAGGCATGAGGAGCTCAGTTGTCACCACAAGGCTGTGGTGCAGCTATACAAAATTTTAAAAACAACAAAAGAAAAAGCTGAACTAGACTCCCTGGTCTTGGTTTCTCAGGCTGTTAGACTGTTTTGGTATCTGCTAAACTGTAAACCCGTTAAAACAGTTGTGTGGTTGCAGGATTTCGATTAAGCCTCGTGGAAATGCAAAAGAAATGCTCAACATTAAACGCAACTTATATCCCGTGTGTCTTTTAGTTCCATTCAAAAATTGGTGCATCTAATTTTATATTAGCCCACTTTACTGGAGATGCAAACGTAAATCACTAACATTTATCTTACAAATCAATTTACGACTCAGACCGAATTAATTCAAAGATGGGAGGACATTCTAATTTTCGTGGATGCTAAAATAATCTCATAATAATTTTAAATAACGTTTTATTAACGTAACAGCCAAAATGATGTAATCTTTTTAAAAATGGTCAGTATCGAAACTGAGAAATTTTCGTATTCAAATACATTCATTATCTATCCACCGCAAATGCGATAATAATGATGATGTTCAAAATGATGATGATGACGAAACGGCTACGTTCTGCATCCTCTAGCAGGCATCAACCATTTAGCTGATAGCCCTTTAATCAGATCAATTAGACACCGTTCTAATGCGTCATTAGTTCCATTTAATGTAGTTTGAGCTACCACATTTTTACCTTTTATTCTCCACTCAATCGGATGACACCGTCATATCAAGACGAATGGAAGTGTGACACAGAAATAAAGTGACACACTTACTATAGAAACCACAAGGCAGACCATTGTCAAACAGTGCGCATTTAAAGTCCGTAACAAGATTTTAATAATGAATTTGTAATAATCATCTTTTCTTGAAATTAAAAGGCAGCACATAAAGGGGGGAGGGGGGGGGGAGGGGGTATTGATATGTCCAATATTTCGCAAAGATCAC